ATGTGGTAATTTGTATGTAATTATGAAGTGGAAGAAGTTCCCTGATATGGTGTCTGCAAGCTAGAGAACCAGGAAACCTGGTGATGTAGTTCAGCCTGAGTGTGAAAGACTGAGAACTAGGGGCCTGCTAACTCCTGAGAAGCAGGACTTCTGGTCTTTGAAGGCAGGGGAGGATAGATGTTCCAGCTCAGAAAGAGAGAGCAAATTCATCCTTCCTTTAACTTTCTGTTCCATTTTGGCCTTAAAGATGGGATTGAATTGTTATACCGATACCGAGACCCTCAAATAACTCTCAGCCCACACATTGCCATTCCAATTAAGCCTTTATTGCTGGCCAGTGGCAGACACTCTACTCTCTAAAAGCGAGATGGTCAGAGTGGTGCACCTCCTTCAGTTTGGCCTCATATTTAAGCCAAAAAACCACAAAAGGGACATTTGGGGGTTTAGTCAATGCAAGGAAGCCAAGTTACAGAAGCGGGAGATTGCAGTCAGGTGGTAGGAGGCTTAGCCAATCAGAATAAGCCCAGTTTCCCCAGTTACAGAAACAGAGCCCAGGTAGACAGTTCTGTGTTCTCAAGGGTTTCCATAACAAAAGGAGAAACAACTTGCCCCAGTCATGACCTTTCTAGTTGACATGGCTGTTTCACAAAATGGAGTCACTATAGTCAAGACTTCTGTCTCATCACAGAATGTTGCCCATCAATCCTATCTTCTTTAGTCTATTGTTTCAAATGCTAATCTTTATTGGAAAACCCTCATTGATAAAGGCCCAAATAGTGTTTTACCAGCAATCTGGGCATCTATTAGGGTTAGTCAAGTTGACAGATAAAATTAACAATCACTCCCACATGTAAAAAAAAAAAAAAAAAGAAATAAATAAATCTACAGACCTTATATATTTTATAAAATTAACTCAAAATTGATTATTGAACTGAATATTAAATGCAAAACTATAAAACTTCTAGAAGACAACAGATTCTTCTGTTCCAGGTGATCTTGGGCATGACAATGAGTTTTTAAAATATAATATTAAGAGCACAAAATATAGAAGAAAAATGTATACGTTAAACATTGTCAAAATTAAAACCTTTTTCTCTGTGGAGGACAGTGTCAAGAAAGCAAAAAGACAGGCCAAGTAAAAAGAAAGCAAAAAGATGAGGAAAGTATTTGCAAAACATATATATAATAAAAAAATATACATTTAGAACATTAAATACAACTCCTAAAACTCACCAATAAGAAAAACAACCTGATAAAAATTGAGCAAAAGATCTGATAAGACACCTCTCCAAACAAGGTGTGCTGATGTTAAATCAGCATATAGGAAGAACATCTTTGACAAACCCAGCCTAATTCCCTCTTCAGATAAGGAACCATCTCGTCACAAAGACATGAAAAGTTAATTTATGCTTTACTATAAATTTCTGCAATTTCTAAACTTGCTTGGAACTCCTGCCCATGCCTTGAACTCACCCAGGCCTGGTTTTTCCTGACCAGATAACAACCCTCTCTGAAACCTTAGTGGCACCTCATAAATTCTGATGTTGGAATCCAAATTTACTACCTAAGTGCTGAACCATTTAGACCATTAACCTACTACCTGCCTTTGTATTATGCTTGTCAAAATCTTGTTATTTGTAAGTTCTCAAGACAACCCCCTTTTGCAACTTTTTGTTCTATAAAACTGTGCTCCTAGAGAGCTGGGGTATTATCTTCTATTCCCATAGATTTTGGGAGAGGGACAGTCCCAACTGGTCGGAATAACAAGCTTGCTTTAATCTGATTTTAATTTGATTTAAATTGGAGTCGGTGGTCTTTTCTTTGTGTCATGGTTTAACATTTTATGTCATTAGGGAATTACAAATTAAAATTATAAGGGATACCAGCATATGCCTATTAAAATGATACGACTCAAAATACAACATAAAATAGTGGTGAGAATGTGGAGCAACAAGAACTCTGATTCATTGCTGGGGGAATCTGATATGGATAGTTTGGAAGACATTTTGGCAGTTTCTTACAAATTTSTTCTCCTTGATATGTACTCAAATGAGTTAAGAACTTATATGTATACAGAACCCTGCACATGAATGTTATTAATAGTTTTATTCATGATTGCTAAAATTTGGAAGTGTGTCCTTTGAAAGAGAAATGGATTAAAAATAAAAACTGGTGCATTGACATAATGGGATATTATTCAGTGATTAAAAAGAAAAGCACTCTCAAGTCACAAGAAGATATGCAGGAAACAAATATATATGGCTAAGTGAAAGGAGCCAGTCTGAAAATGTTACAKACTATATGGTTCTAATTATGTGACATTTTGGAAAAGGCAAAACTATAGAGATAGTAGAAAGATCAGTGGTTGTCAGGAGCTCAGGATGAGGGAGGAAGGAATAAATAGGTGAAGCACAGATTTTAAASGATATTATTTATGAAATACTATCATTYTGGATATATGATATTACCAATGTACCAAACTCATAGAAATATTAAACACAGAGTGATTATAACAAAAATCATGGACATCAGTTAATAATCATGTATCAATATTGGTTCATCAATTATAACAAATATACTGTACTATTAGCAAGAATTAATAAATGGGAAACTGAGGGGTGGGAATAGTGTATAATATCTGTTCAATTTTCTGCAAATATAAAACTACTCTGAAAAATAAAGCCCATTGCTTTAAAAACATAGTGTAAAGAACTATGAAAACTGAATAAAAAATATGACATACACTCATTTTAACTATGTAGACATGGTGTTTTGTATAATTTTCTTCCAGGTGTACTTATGGTAAATCAGCATATAGGAAGAACATCTTATGTCATAAGGGAATTACAAATTAAAATTATAAGGGATATCAGCATACACCTATTAAAAATTATATGACTCAAAATACAACATAAAATACTGGAGAGAATGTGGAGCAAGAATAACTTTTTTAAGTAAAAGAAATAAAATATTACAGTTTACGTATCCCTTGCCCCTCCCATTTCTATTTCTCTACTCTCTACTCAAAGGAAACCATTATTATTTGTGTGYGTCATTTCAGTTTCTCTTTTATACTTTTACATTTATATATGTATATGAGCAATGAATCACATTCAAGTGTTTAACAACAGTATATGATTGTACCAAAATACAGCAGTATTTAACATTAAGCATTATCCACCCAGTTGAATGCTTTACATATCTCTTCATGTTGTTAAATATAGAACTAATCTTTAAATTTTAAAATGTTTCAGCTGTTGTACCACATTCTAATGTATAAAACATTATTTATCAATTTCTCTATAAATTAATGTTTAAATTATTTTCAATTTTGTGTTACTACAATTAATGCAGCAATGAAAAAAGTTTTGGGCATATACAAAAGAACACCTGTAAGAGTTTTCTGGGGTATGTACTACAAGTTGGATTGCTGAGTTGCTGGGTATATGTACTCTCCACTGTCTTACTTACGGTCAAATTGCTTGCCAAAGCAAATTTGCATTTCTCTTAATAGTGTATGAGTGCTCTTTTTCTTTTTATTGATTAAGAACCAAGTCTCAGAGAGGTTAAGGAACATGCTTCAAACCACACCATGAGTCAGAGTTAGGAAAAGAACCTGTCCCTAGCACCATGTTGTATTAAGTCTGACTCTCTTGGATGGCTTGGATGATTCAAGGGTGCACTGCAATGAGTATCTGGGGTCTCGGTTGGAAATTTGAGACTTGTAGTGTTAGGGTCAATTTCACAGTATCCCTAGAAGGTTCCCTTTATATCAACTGGTATGGAAATAGCCCACAGGGGTATGCCCTGAACTGAGAGGCTCAGTTCTCACTCAAGGAGATAAGGAAGTCTGCTGGACCAGGCAGAATCCTAAACACCTCCTTTCATGAGTTTTCTTGTGCCTAGCCTAGTATTAGATCCACAAGGATGGTTCTGGCCTGTCACTTCATTATTTTGTTGATGGTATAATACATTTGTTTGTTTGAATCAATTACTATTTCCATGATTAAAAATGCTTAGAAATCAAGATTGGATTTTCTGTAGCACTGATAAAAATGGGGCATATTTCTGGTTATTAGTCAGAGATAACTTTATCATGTGACAATAGTGTAAACAAATATTTACAATATGATTTGGGTTGGTATATATCTGGCTAAGTGGAGCTAAGCTATTTAAAAAATAAACCTCAACGTTTCAATGACTTATGGTAATAAAGGATTGTTTCTTGGAAAACTGGAAGTAGACTGGTTGTTTCTTTTATTAGTATTGTGCATATTTTAGTAGGATCTGCTATGTACCCAAGGCTGCCAGGGTAAGGGATGAGTGAGGGAGAGGGGAGGGGGATGGGGGGAGGAATCACATAGACTTTATCGACACAGCCTCCAAGTGACATGCACCAATTTCACATTTAATGCTGTAGCCAGAACTAAAACTAAAGTTTTAATCCAATTGGAGAAGAGGCTGGGAAAGTGTAGGGAGAAGCACACACGTATCTGATGAACATTGGTGGTCTCTTTCACACACTGGATTCTTTAAAAAGTTTGTAGGCAATTTCACATTTCAAATTTTAAACAAAAGGGCATAGTTTTATATTACTTTTCTTTAAATATGTGCAAAGGCAACTGTATAGTGAAGTTCGTACTAACTTTTTAAGAAACCCTCTTGAACTCTATGTTAAAAACAGCAAAGCATTTATTTAATAGTTGTGAGATCTGGGCAAGTCACTTAACTTCTCTAAACTTGTATCTCAATTGAAAATGGAATAATAATTCCTCAGTCAGAGTGTTTCAAAAATTAAATTAGAAATGGCATGTAAAACACTTGACCTAATGCCTAATAATGCAAATTTTTATTATCTTTTATTGGTATTGTGGATATTCTAGTGGGATCTGCTATGTACCCATGATCATCAGAAGTCAGCATRTTCTACAGGAAAAGGAGATGTTTGGTCCAAGTTCCCAAAATGAAATGTCTTCTTCTGTTTGTTCTTCACTTTATAGGTCATCGGGGATTTCCCAGGTCATGCCCTCCCTGGAGTCTTCTTCTTTGTCATGGGTCTTTGGTGGAGTACAAAGAGTATTTTGAAGTATGTCTGCAAAAAGCATAAGCAGACCTGCTACCTTGGATCCAAAGCATTATTCCAGCGATTAGAATTTTTGGAGGGAATTGCAATAGTTACCATGACAGTGATTGGTGAGTGGATCATTTCTGTGTTCTGTTTCTCCTTCTGGATAATTTCATGTGCCAAGAGAATATTCAATAAAAAGTTAAGAAATTGCTAAAATGAATTTTGTATTCAAAACATCTCTCAATATATATTCTAAATGTATTCTATCTGATATAATTTTTTAGGTGATAATTCGTGTTAATACAAAAGCGTATTTCTTAATGAATTCATCATGGTAGTTCATTTGCCTACTCAGCCAAAGTGAATCTCCTTTATAGAATGGATTGGAGCCTCTGAAATACTTTTAAATCAATTGTTATAAGCCTTGAAAGAACAAGCCCAATCAGAAACCATTTTGGATGCGACACCAAAATAATCAAGCATTCATGGGAAAGTTTCAATGATAAATTGTTGCTGATCAGCTGTAGAGAGAGTTCAGGGCTGAGGAAGACCTTGCTTCATGCATTCGTCCCTTTTTTTTTTTTTTCCTGAATTGGAGGAGGTTAGGGCAGATAGCTTTTAAGAACTTCCCATTGCCCATGAGGATTCCATGAAGTGTTCTGTGTTTCTGGAGTTCACTGCAGTCTCTCCTCCATAAAAAAGTAAAACCTCCCATTTTCTAATRGGAAAATGACATTGATTGGTGAGTGGATCATTTCTGTGTTCTGTTTCTCCTTCTGGATATTTTCATGGCCAAGAGAATATTTACACAGTTTATTCATGATACAAGGATTTACTATGACTATCAAATTACAGAGTAACTATTTCCAAATAGAGAGATTTCCTTGCCAAATTCTATAGATTAACAAATAAGGTAGCATCTCTAATGTAAATGTTTGAATAACTGAACTCACTATATTCTCTGTCTGGGCCTTCTCAGTTATCCTTAGTTGGAGAAAAGCTGAACTCTTGAGCATTTTTATTGGGAACCAAGGATAACTCCCTACTTTGTGGCAGCTACCCAAAGATGTAGTATCTAGGAAGAAAGTAATCAGCCTTTATAAGACTGATCTGGTAAATCCGAAACCCTAAATCATTCAGGATTTACTTTAGTTGTTAGACAAGAATAGATAGTTGAACTCAAATCATCAGCATTGTAGAACTGAAATAGTTGTTTGATTCATATAATTGTCTGTGACTAAAATTGATCCAAACCAGCATTTGAAGTTTTAAAACAAGGGTAAAGCTCCAGTGCTAAGCTTTTAGGCAACAGTCTAGAGAGAGGAATCACTGTCATAACAGGACATCAGATTGCAATAGTCAACGGGAAAATCCTTCTGCATATTCATGCATGCTAGACAAAGCTACAGAGAGGGTTGCTAAAACTGTAATATATTTCTCTACAGGTATAATTGGTCTACAGTTTTTTGCTGGAGGGCCCCACCTGATCATACACAACGAAAGCCCATGGAGACGAGTGCTGCGTTTGCAACACTTGACCCTRTATTTCTTCTTTGGACTGCTGGGTGTGGCCAGCATCTTATGTTCCACCGTCAGTTCAATTCCAGTCTCCTTAATCAAGTTAATGATGTCAAATGCCTTCTTTGTGGAGTGTAAGAATGAGTATTTTTTTCTAAATCTTTCTCTATTATTGGGCATTTATGGTAATAATTAGTGTAACCTTTTATAATAATACATCTTTGCTGTCTTGGTGCAACTGTGATTGATGGGTATCTTGATGTGATTGTTCGTAATGTATTTTGGTGTCYTACGTAGGTTGCCAAAGACCTTCCTTACTGACTCACTTACAACTGGGCAAGCATAGTCATTCAAATGTGCTTTATTCATATTTCACATCTGTCTTAAAGAACCACCTACAGTGTTTCATTATCTCTTGGTTGTCCTGGAAATTATTATTTCTACTTTTATGAATGAAAACTGAACTCGGCATAGAGGAGCATAGATATCCTGAGATGCGGCAGCAACTCACCACAGAACAGCTTTCACTGTCTACTAACTACCTTTAAAAATATTAATGAAATAAAACTCTGCAATTATGTGATAAGTAGGTCCAAAAATTCAGTCACATAAAAACATGAGGTCCTAATTTTGAGTGGTTATTGAAAAACAATGTTTTATTCAGTTGTTTTCCCAGTTTACTATGTGGAAAAAGGAGAAAGCAAATGTTCAGGGATTTTTTTATTGCACATGTAAGAAATAGATTGATTACAGAACCACAAAAGTCCCAAATGATTAGAAGTTGGTTACACCCTAACTGCTGCTCTTGCCTCCCACATCTGAAGATGAGAACTTCTGCTTAATCCTCTATAAGAACAGGACTGGATGAAAGATGGGTGCCAACAACCAGAAGCGTGGTTCTTGTTCTTTCCAGGTGTTGCTATGTTTGGAACAAATATCTGATGAAAATGACTAAGATGAAGCTGGAATTTGTCCATGGAATGAAAAATGCAGTTAGTTACTATGTCTTGGGAACTTGTCATACCTGGAAGGTCCACCCTTGTGACTTATGGATGTGTTTCTTTCTTCCCTGAGCTGGATCCTCAGAGCAAGGCTTCAGCTTCAGCCTGCTCTTCTCTGTAGTCACCTTAATTACAGCTCTCTGCCCTATCATATTTATTATTCATCATCTTGTGTAGATGGTGCTTTGAAATATAGTTAGTGGAGAATGTCATGGTATGTTAGGGGACAGAGTAAAGGTTGGGGAAGGGAAAGTATTAGATTTCAAATATTCCATTCTGAGAAGGCAACAATGACTCTGAAAATGCAAGAATGCATTCCTGTGGGAAGCAGTGGGGACATGCTCTTTTGGACAATTGTGTGTGTGTAGAAACTTCTATGGGCAGAGAGAGGGAGTGAGACAAGCAGTGGGCAGCATTTGGTTTCATTGACAAAGACAAACTGTTCCCCTCCCTCTATTAGCTTTYATCTTCTACAACCACACTCATGGCCGGGAAATGCTGGACATCTTTGTGCACCAGCTGCTGGTCCTCGTCAGCTTTTTGACAGGCCTGATGGCCTTTATCGAGTTCCTTGCACAGAAAAATATACTTCTGGAGCTCCTGCGGTCAAGCTTCGTCCTGCTACAGGGGAGCTGGTTCTGGCAGGTGAGTAAGGGTCTTCAGCTAATTTACCAGACATCTCTGCCTATAACTTCTGTCCTCATTTAATGGGGCATTTTCTCCTAGACCTCCAGGCACTTCCCTCCACTTTGCTGTCTCTAGTGAAAATGAGGGTCTCTGAGAAGGCAAGTTATTTGGTTGGCACAGMAGCTCTGGTAGAGTTATTGTCAGAGCAGCTGGGCAGAAAGTAGGGTATGCACCTCTTCCTCACACACATAAATATCTTTTATGTAGGAACTCTGAGCAAATGCTGTTAGTCAAAAGCAGATCCCCATGCTAAAGCAAATTACAGCCTAAKGGTTAGTGAGCTTAGGAACATATGGAAGGCAGGAAACAGGAAACTATTATKTATTGAGAAACAACTATCTATTGGCCACTGTACTGAATTTTTACACACTATATTTTACTCTGTTTGCACAACAATCTGTAAGTTAGCTGATATCGTGTCAAATTTACCAATAGGAAGATTCAGAGAGACCTGGTTACTTTCTCAGGTTCACAGAATATTGGAGCTAAGATATAAATCTGGTTTTGTCTGACCCCAAATCCCAGGCTCTTTCTATTTTATGATRTTCACTCCTTAATCTCAGTGCATTGTAGAAATTTATCATTTCCAATTAGTGCATATATATTTTGTAGAGACTAATAAACCATAATCCAATATACATATGTATATGTAAAGAAAGTCTTGAATGGATGCAAAATGTGTTTTAATTAGGGAAGCCCTCTCAGAAAAGATGTTAAGTTGCCAGAGAGCAGGGACATGACATGATGAAGTTGTTTCAGGGATTTGCACTTCACAGTAAAGAAGCATTGGTAGGTGAGGGGAAGAAAAAAGGTCAAAACAGGATCTGACAGCTGTGGTATTTAAATATTTGAGGGAGTAGAAGGGTTATTGGAGCAGAGGCTGGTAGGGAGGAGCCTAGATTCATGGGTTTTTTTGAAGAAAAATTTTATCAAAAAAATTACAAATGCCCTATAACGTGATAAAATTGATAACTGATAACTTTAACCAGCTAACATACAGAAATTGTCTTGTTAGATTACTTATCATTTACTGGAAATGTAAACTGAGTAAATAGAATTGCACATAAAACACTGTTATGTACTCTACACCTCTTGATCGGAATGTTTTATTATGTACATGCATAACAGTTTCAAAAATAAATTAAAAAGAAATGTTTTAGAAAGAGATAACTTGTACCTGAGCAGACACAGTGAGTTCATGACTTAGAGTATCTGATTCTTGGAACTCTTTAAGTTGTGTTGTTTGTAGAGTCTATATTCTTAATTGTTTTCCTTCGGATTTATCTCTGAATCAGTCTCCTTATATCAGAGAAAACATTTGGCATTTGTTTTTTTGGGGATTGACTAACYTCACTTAGCATTATCTTCTCCAATGCCATCCATTTACCTGCAAATTCCATGATTTTATTCTCTCTTATTGCTGAGTAAAATTTCATTGTGTATATATGCCATATTTTTTTTTATCCATTCATCTACTGAAGGGCATCTAGGTTGGCTCCATAGTTCAGTTAATGTGAATTATGCTGCTATAAACATTGATGTGGCTGTTAAAGTTTTATATTATAATTGTGAATTTGTCAATTTCTTATTTTCAGTTTTTGCTTTGTTTTAAGCTTTTACTTTTCCTAGTTTTTTTTAGTATGTTTCTCATCTCATTTATTTTTAATCTTTTCTATTTAAAAAAAAACCCACATTTACAGCTATGAATTTCCCTCTGTATAGTACTATAACTTCCTGTTTGGGCAATTTTGAATATCGCCATTTCCACGTACTTTTCCTTACAACTTATGAGTTATTTAGGATTGCCGTGTGTGTGTGTGTGTGTGTGTGTGTGTGTGTGTGTGTGTGTGTTGTATCAAACTCAGGGCTTTGTGTTTGTTAGGTATGCACCCTACCACTAAGATATACCCCCAGCCCTAGGAGTGCACTTTTAAGTTTCCAAACACATTCTTTTTATTCATTTCTAATTTAATTTCTCCGGGGTCAGAAATTATTTTTTGAGTCTCATTAAGACTTCCTTTGGGACATAGTCTGATGTCAGTGGTAGTGGATACTCTATGTATTTGAAAAGAAAATATACCTATTCTTTGTTGGGTTCAGAATTCTGTATTGTATGAATCAATTTTACATTGCTATAACAAATGACTGAGATGATCAACCTGTAAAGATAAAGGTTTATTTTGACCTGGGGTTTCCGAAGTTGAAGTCTACAACTTGTTTTGGCCCTGCTGCTTCTAGGGCTGTGGTGAGGCAGTACATCATGATGGAGGCATGTAATGGAGCAAGATCAGTTATCTCATGGTTGGGAAGTGGAAGAGAGACAAATGAAGGGATTGGGGTTCAACAACCCCCCTTGAGGATAAGCCCCTAGGTGACCTAAAGGCCTCCTACTAGGTTCTACATCCTAAAGCTTCCACCATCTCCCAATAGCCCCACCTGGAAGCAAGCCTTTACCACATGGACCTTTGGGGGGCATTTAAGATCCAAATTATAGGGTACATATATTTACTAGATCAATTTCTTTAAAGATATTTATATTCAAATAAGAAAAATAGTAAAAGCAAGAGAGAAAACTCAGAGACTTGAAGAATAGAATTATAAAGATAATAGTAGAATTAATAAAAGTAACTAATATTCAGTCAACAATTAATGATTAATTATGTTTAGGATCTGAAGGAATAAGCTGTGTTATATCTCAACTGAGAATAAGTCAGCTTAATCTTGGCTCTTTTGGTAGAGAAATAATATTTTCATATTTTCCCCCAATGCTTTTCCAAGGAAGAGCTACAATGTTAAAGTCTTTGGGTATAAATTTTTGATTACTTGGAGGTTTTCCCACCTGCCAATAGGTCTAGACAAGTTTCCTGTTTGGTGACCAGCCAAATGATTTTGCAGCTTTAAAGAAGAGTGAATAATTAATACAACACAAACACACACAATGATAGGAAGTAATGTAACTCTCCCATTCTTGGATTCCTCTGAAACAAAAATATCTAGAAATTTAGGTAAATTTATCATGCTTTCATGTCTTGTTGATATGTGTGGTATATATTTATGGCCAAGACTTAAGCTAACAATATTATGTTGTGATTTGCTTTTCACCATATTTTTTCTCTAAGTATGGTTAATACTAAAACATAAACTATATATAGACAGATCAGAGAAAGTGCCCACCTGGAATCTTGGAACCCTATGTAAGTAGATGTGAACTGCATGAGACCAGTGTTCAGAGTGGCTAGTTTTTTAAATAACTCATATTTAAACGACTGCATAATCTGCAAACAGGGGAATTTTCTTCCCAGCCTACAAAAAATGGTTTCCTTCGCATACCACACATTACATTTAAAATGCTTCCTCAATAACTTGGTCACATCATGCAATTTCAAAACTAAAAAGAAAATCTTTCATGACCCTTAATTCTATGAATCACATTTTCCCAGTGTCTGTGTGGGAGGATATATCAATAGCTCATTTAGTACTTTGTCACTTCCAAGCTTCTCATCCTCCTGACAGCGTGAGGGACAATCTGGGGATGAGGAAGCTGCATCTCTTGTTCTCACTTCTCTCTTCTCTCTACTTGGGACAATGGTTTCCTTTGCTTCTCTTAGCTCTACTAACCCCACTTCCCCCTCAGAGATTATTCCCATGACTGCCCAGATTCTGAGTCCAAACTAAAACTCAGACTTGCCTTGCCTTTAAGAAAGACAAAAGTTGAATGGCTTTGACACCTGTCAAAAACCAATTGAGGGGCTCGGGATGTGGCTCAAGTGATAGCGCGCTCGCCTGGCATGTGTGAGGCGCTGGGTTCGATCCTCAGCACCACATTAAAAAAACTATAAAGATATTGTGTCCACCTAAAACTAGAAGATAAATATTTTTAAAAAATCAATTGATACATGGATTTAATTGTGGACTTTCAGTTCAGTTTCGTTGATTTTTAAGTCTATCATTATGGCAATACCAGAGTTCTGATTACTATAGCTTTATAGGAAGTTTTGAAATCAAAATGGTGAGTCTTCCCCCTTTGGTTTTCTTTTTTCAATGTTTTTGTTTTGATTGATTTTTCTTTTTGTTTTCAGTTATCCTGGATTCCTTGCAATTCCCTATGAATTTTCAGATCAACTTTTTTAATTTATGCAAAAAAGGCCATTGGAATTTTGATCGRGATTGCATTGAATCTGTAGATTGCTTTAGGTGGCATTTCAATCTCAATAATATGAAGCTTCCAGTTCATGAATATGAGATAACTTTCATTACTTTAGATCTTTGATTTCTTTCAATGATGTTGTATAGTTTTTGATCTTCAAGTCCTGAACCTCTTTGATTTTTTTTTTTTTTGAGGTAATGGGATTGATCCCAAGGCCTCTTGCATGCTAGGCAAGTGCTCTACCACCGAATTACTTCCCCAGGCRTGTGACTCCTTGAATAAAGTTATTCCTAAGCATCCTACTCTTTTTCAATGATATTGTAAGGGTAATAGTTTTCTTAATTTCATTTTGGGGTTGTTCGTTGTGTGTAAAAATACAACTATTTTTGTATGTTGATTTTGTATTTACAAAACTCATTTATTAGYTTTAATAGWTTTTTKGGGGGTAGGTTCTTTGGGATTTCCTATACATGATAGTATGTCATTTGTAAATATGGATAGTTTTACTTCTTCCTTTCCAAAAAATATCTTCTGTTTATTTTTCTTATCTAATTGCTCAGATTGGAATTTTTTAGTAAAACGATGACTAGAAGTGATGAAAGCAGACAACTTTGTATTATTCCTGACCTTAGGTGGAAAGTATTTGGTTTTTCACCATTGAGTATAATCTGTGGGCATTTATTTATTTTAAAGCCTTTTTGCACTCTAAATAGCATTATGAAACTGTACAATATAGAATATGTCTTTCAGGACATTCTGAAAGACCACCCATCCTCAAAGATGATCTCTGTTCATATTCTGAAAATTGATCATTAAATGTCTTTTTAATTTTTTTCAAAACTGTGACTTGGTAGATATTGTCAGTATTATTAAGACAGGCAGAAACATCTAATGTTTTCTCTGTGACATAGGAGATAATGGGAGTTATCTTAGTTGTCAGGCATTGTGAAGTGCACAATCTTTGGGAATATGGTTCATTATTTTAATGTGTGCTTTTTATTTTAAATTACAGATTGGTTTTGTCCTGTTTCCCCCTGGTGGACGTACTGCATGGGATCTGCTAGATCATGACAACATCATGCTTCTTTCTGTAGGCTTTTGTTGGCTTTACGCATTGGCCTTCATTGTCATTGGAGCGAATTATGCTTTTATCACCTGGTAAGTTAATGAATTTTGTTTATGAAAGTTCCATTCCTTGATATATGACCATCAAGACTTGATAGTGTTGAACTTAAAATTCAAAAGGTATTTTATTCCTTACAATCCCACAAGACAGGGTAGCATTGCAGAAAATTATCTGTAAGCATAAATTGCCAATAGAAAGAATATGTGTTGGTTTAACAGTTGGAATAGCTCAAGAGTATCTCTGCTGTGCCTTTGACCCATGCACCAGTGTCATGTCCACTGTTCTGAGTCTCTATGTCTTTGTGTATGCTCTTTCCTCTTTCCCACCTGCAGTGGTTCCTCTATTTACCTATGCATACACCCTTAAATTATAGCATTTCTTAAGCTTGGAGCCATTTTTTGACCAACTCATATGAGTCCCATTAAATTTGAATGCCTGGTTAACTTGGCATTGACTGTAATATTTCTAAACAATGAATGATACACTTATTTTACAAGAACCCTGATACAACACTCCATGAACAGGTAAGGAGCAATATAACAGAATATATATTCCTATTTCTGCTGCCTATTAGTTCATTAGTCAGGCCAATTGTTTTTTCCATATTTTTTCATTGGTGCACTATAGTTGTACATAATGGTGGGATTTGTTATTACATATTTGTACGTGCATACAATATAACCATATAACTTTCAGATCAATTATTTAATCACAATATGTCTGTCATCTTGTTTGMAAAATTGGGATAATGATAATACCTAAATGAGATCATCATTACACATGAGGCCTATGAGAAATTTTTAGGTGCTAGTTAGGACTAAATTAGAGAGAGAGAGACAATTGAAATGCAATACAACAAATGGAAATAGTGGAAGAATAAAACACCGCTGGAGCTTAGGGAAGGCTCCTCACCATTGAAAGTTAAGTTGCAGCTTGAAAATAGGTAGGAATAAGGATGGGGTGTTTAAGGTTCCTCTTTATAAGGTAGTTAGAGCCAAGTCACAGTTGACTTGGTTGATCCCAGTTACCAGCTATGAAGGCTCCAGCACCTCATCCTTCAGACTTCAGTGCTGATTGAAATGTTCTATCTCTGCAGAGCTCTCTATATACWGTGTTCAATATGGTAGCCACTGCTTATTGAGCATGTGAATTGGGGCTAGGTCCACATTTAATTTTAGTTAATCCAATTATCCATACGTGGATAGTGCTACCTTATGGGATAYTACACATCTAGCAGTTTCTCCAGATTTCTAGAATGCAGTCGCTGCCTATAGGCTTGGTGGGGTCTCAGCCTCTGCAGGAACCAGATTTTCACTTTCTTTAGACATGGATCCCAGGCCACCCCTCCTGCTCTGTGATTCTTTGTGCTTTATTGCTGAAGTGGCTCTAGTACTAGGGCTCTGATTCATGAAACTTCCTTTGCCTAACTTCAAGATGTCTCTGATGGGCTTCCAGGAGAAGAYACCTACAATGAGAGATCTGAGATGCTTTCTCATTGTCCCAGAGATTCTGCTTTCTCATTGTCCRCTTTCTACTGCTACTATTTTACTACCCCAGATATGATGAGCTCTTTGTTAAGGTGGGCTCTGCCACTGAGTGAAACTTGACTTCTTCCATTATTGKGATTCTAGGCTGACACCTGGATCTCATTTCCTTAGGTTAGGGGCAGGGCAATTTTTTCTGGAATAGTGCCAGAATTCAAGGAAATTMTCTACTTCATATCAGTTCCCCTTCAGAGCAAGACCATTGTCTCTTCCTGTTTCAGAAACCTTCAGATGTCTAATGAACTTCTTATCCACTTACTGTTCTCAGGAAACCAGAAACTCCATTCTTAGTTTTCCACCTCTCCCTTTCCCTGCTGCATGCTATTCCAATCCTTTTGATCAGGCAGTTCTCTCTACCTGGCATATCCWCGTTAAACACACATCTCTTTTATGGATGMTTCTGTGATYCCTCTAGCCCTTGTTCATCTCCCTTTCCTGAGTTTTTATATCACTTTAATCTCCACCAGATATTTTAACAGTTGTGACCTATCTGGTGATGTTGACTACTAGCTAATGTGTTAGTCTTATTAGCTAGCTAGATTGTATCTCCTTGTGACAAAGACTATTTTCATATTCRCACACTTCTTGACATACTGTCAAACATAGAGTAGGTGCTCAATAAACACTTGTTACTGTTTTAATAGATCTGTTTCAGAACTACTTAAATATAAGCTTCATTTTCTCAGAAATCACGTTTTATATGTTTTTCAGTTTTTGTTCTCTTATTGCTCCTGGAAAAATAAGACCAGGAGTTCAGTTTTTCTGAACTATTTTGATATAAAATAAACAATTGCTTAAAATATCATGAATATTTAGTGCTTCCTTTCAGTGAGGTTGGATAATCCAGTCCTAAATTTCAGGCTAAGGAGTCTTGCAAGTCTACTGGTGTGGAATTGTCTATGGAGTGATTTAGAACTTGTGCACAAGTGATGAAGTGTCAGAACATTTTATCAAAATCTATTTGACACAGCACCAAGATTGCCATGGAAGCATGACTATGTTATGGAACTGATCCTCAAAATTTCTGAAAGATGAACTTATACTTCCCAGTTTTCCAGAGCAATAGTTCAAAGGTTGCCTGACCCTGTAGTTTTATCATAGCTCAGAGATGACACCTATCTGTTTGGGAATCCTATTATGTACTTAACTTTAACTGCATCTCACATTTAAACATCTCTCAATTAAGAGTCCCTCTCTATGGCTAAGGAAGTATTGGCATTTATAGACAGGTTTTAAAGCAGTGATTCACATAAGCCTTTTTGAAGAAGAAAATAGAGATGCTGGAATTGCATTCATATGAGAGTTTCCTGGATATGCACCCATTGTCTCAGCTCTAGTCTTTCTCATATTAAATAAAGAGAGTATATTGGAGGAAAAATGTAGACATATACTGACCYGAGTTCCTGGGATTTGCATCATTATAGTAGCCTTATTCCATATCTCTCAATCTGCCCCAGGTGGCTATTTATATATGTGTAAAACCTACAACTAGAGGCACCAACAGAGCCTGATAAAGGTGTCTAACAGCCTCAGCTAGTTGACTTTTAGCAACAGCCTATACAACTCAAAGAGGAGGAATAGGTAATAGGAGGAGCCATTAGTCTCTCTACCTTGACATAATTTGTAAAAAGCAKCCATGAATTATTTTATTTTCTACGAGAGTCTTCAGAAACTAAACTATTGGATTAATCCATTCATTTCACATGTATTGAAGTTGTACAATGTGGAAATAATGCCTTTGACTTGTTACAGCAATTAACCTTTCATGAGTGCCATGACTTAAAAGGGTTGAGGACAGTGGGAGCAACATCAATAGTCCACCAAGGCAAGTGATTTTGAGCAGGTTTTCTTCTTAGCTCTCAGTTCAACAAACAGATGCTATGATACTGCTCAGTTATTGTTATTTGCTGGAGGAGTCACTTCGAAGTTGGAAGTGAMTGAAAAATCAACCACTGTGAATATGTGGGAGTGTGAACTCCTGGCAGATTACCCCAAAGGGCATTACCTTGCCAGATGTGTATCAAGGCACTTTTATGTACCAGACAGTGGTCCAGACTCTGCCTGGGATTAGGGAGCAAATACAATAACATTTCTTCTATTATAAAGCTTTAGTGGGATCCAGAGCACAGGTAAAACCATGTCATATTGACAGGAAAGACCAGAATTTCATCAGAAGAAGAAAGGMAGAAAATAAGGATAAAGATGTGAGTAAGCTAGTGAAGTTTTTCATAAAAGGAAAATGATTTTGATGGATTTGATTTGTTAAATTTGTTTGCATAATTCTGTGTGTATTTGGAAGCTATCTTTTATTGATGCACCTGAAAAGCTCCGCATAGTTCTTATTAGTAGTCTTTTGCTTTAACATCAGAATACTGAAGAGCCTGTGGGGCTTTTGCCACTAAGAAGCTTCAGATCTTCAAGTGTCAAACATTGTCATCGATACTTCCCCCAAACCCAGTTTAGATTCTCTTAACCTATGAACATGGTCATGGGGTGAAGAGAACTTCTCTGAACTTAATTCATTATGGACAGAGCCATCACATGCAGTTGAGTGGCCTGTGCCCTACAGAGAAATATGTCTCTGAAGAGGGATATGGGGGCTGAATTCTAGGCTAGACTTGGCATGGGGCTTGCCTTGGGTGCCAGCCCTAGGGAAGGAGGTGGCTTCCTGCTTTTCCTTTACAGGAGTGGACATCTCGTTTGCAATCACTGATAGCTTTTACAATCACTGATGGAGAAGCGCCACTGATCTCAGTTTCATCTGGGTTTGCTGCAAGCCAGGGATTCTCTTGTTTGTTTTAGAAATGATCAAAGTTATCTTCTGATGCCCAATTAAACAATCACATACCACATTTTAAAGTCACATTTTATCKTTTTACTTATAACCTGATTTAATCTACAAACATGTTCATGCAACTCTAAAGCCAAGTAAAAACAATCTTCCTTTTTGAGTTGCTTCCCCTATTTACACACAAAAAAATCTGTGATTGTTGCATTACAGATATATGCTACCCTCAGTTTTTATTTTAAACATTATCTAACAGAGATGGTTTTCTGTTTCCTCAGGTTGGTGAAATCTAGACTTAAAAAACAGTGCCCTTCAGAAGTTGGACTCCTAAAAACTGTTGAACAAGAACAAGAATCAGAAGAGGAGATGTGATTTTTGATGGGCATCTAGTCTATCTACATAAACCTATTCACCTTTGCATTGTCTTTGCTCATGGTTTTGTTTCTTGACCTTTTATTGGAGATCAAGAGGCAGAGGATGATTGTGGTTTGTATTTTTAATTTAGTTAAAGTTTGGGAGTTTTAATACTTTAACTTTGAAAATACTTTGGGTGGTAAGTTCATTTGTACATCATGCACATGATGGTATTCAGGGACTAGAGTGACTTTTCTCACATCATGTATCATTTGATGTCCATAATATGAAACATACTGGCTTTATTTGCTTGTGGATATGTTCAAGGTTCCTTTCTTGCTACCATTTCTAACTCATTGAACACAGAACTATAAATGTTTATCTTGTTTCTGCAATGAGAAATAAATAAATGCAGTTATCTAAAATCCTTGTTTTTGTTATTGAGCTACACCTCACCCTTAGGTGATGCACAAGAAGCTGAATGACACAGAAATTCCTTTTGGTGACACAGCTTTCTCTGAAATACCTGAGTCCTCCCCTGAGAAATGTAGATCAGATGTTCTGTTGACTTGTGTGATCTTCCCAAGATGAAAGCTATGGTCCCCAGTACACGTGGTTGCAAGACCACCAGAGACTGGGAAAGGAGAGTTGTGGTGTTGGCTGTAAGAGTAAAAAGTCATTACACCATAGAAGGGCCACCCTGCACCCCCTGGGTTAAAGTAGGTGAGGACTTAAAGCAAGTTTCATAGAATACCTGGGTCAGAAGTCAGGGTCCTTTCCCAGTTATGGGCTTCATAGCTCTCAGTGGAGAGTCAAGAAATCCCCTTCCTAACTCAATCATTARCCTGCCTCCAAGTATCTAGTAATCACCATGTCCTCTCTGAAGTGAAGAAATGGAATTGACTGTATCAAGGGCCTTTTTCTGGCTGTCACATTGCATGAATCTCAAAGTGGAAGCATGTGGACAGCTAACTTAACACAGAGTCAGTCAGAAAGCCCAGTCTCTGCCATGAGAGAAGAGAGGAGGACTGCAGGAGTCCCCAGGAGAGGACTGACCCAAATGTGGAGKAAAGGAGGCAGCCTTGTGGGCAGCTGGAGCTAAACGTGGGCAACTGAATCTTGAGGCCTCCCCTGGCATTCCAGAGCATGGCAAATGCAGAAGCTGCCCTGTCTGGTACATATCACAGTGGCGCTGAAGACAGAGGTGAGCAGATTCCTCAGGCCCAAGAGCTAGACACATTCATTTGTTACACAAAGTTCGAAAAGAACAGGTGCCTAAAGGTTTTCTTAGTTCACTCTGGCATTTGAAAATGCCCACAAGCCATAGTTCTCTGGGGATCATCTGTTCTGACCCACATGTGTCCTAGATCTCAGGGTGCTCTTCTAGTCCAGTAAAAGAATGAATGAGCAGTCAGCCACAGTTACTTAAAATTGGCATCACTGGTATCTAGGCCTGAGCAGGGACTCTAGGAATAACTACAATGATTAAGATGAAGTGGGTATGGTAGTTCACACCTGTAATCACAGTGGCTCGGGAGGCTGAGGCAGGAGGATCCCTAATTCAAAACCAACCTCACCCACTTAGAGATGCCCTGAGCAACTTAGCGAGATCCTGTCTCAAAATAAAAAATAAGAAGGTCTGGGATGTGGCTTAGTGGTTAAGAGCACCTGGGTTCAATCCCTGGGAGAGAGAGAGAGAGAAGAGAGYGTGAGCACCTGGGATCTCATCATTGATACGTGTAAATATTCTAGAGCCTTTATGATAGAGCAGAATTGTCCATTTCTCAAGTCTCTGCACACAGAGAATATAAGAAAGATGTAATGCAGTGAGTTCTAGGATTTAATTCAAAGGCCACAGTCTGGCACTGTCTCTAGCCCTTGAAATGACCAACAAATTGGAAAATCTATCATATCTTTATCATTGTATTATCAACTTTGTATTTTAAAACTACCGTTTTTATGGAATGACACARATTAGCAAATAATGAGATTGAGCCCAAATAGGAAAGTCTGCATTTTCTTTACATCGTTCCATGAAGTCATGGGTCAATAAAGACAATCTGTAAAGGTTCTAATCTATAAAGAATTATATTTCAGCATATTTTCAGAAATCATGACAAATATCTTATAACAAAAATATAAGAGGTCTTCAGCTTTAGATCATGGGATGAGGAAAATCATCTTCAGGTAATGCTTATCAACTCATATGTATGATGGGATCATTCAAAGCCATTTCCATGTGCCCATCAGGGTGCAAGAAGCTAGGGACATAGTGATACTCAGGCCAGAGTCACTGTCCTCATCAGACTTACATTCCTACTGGAGAAACACAAAATATAAAGTCAGAAAATCTATAATTTGAGGCAATAATTTTAGATCAATAAAGTTGAGAAGGAGGAATAAGAATAATTGAGTGGGGTAATGACACTTTTCCTTGGCTGGTCCTTTCTCAGAGGCATTTCTCTGACTACCCTGGGGAAAGTAGCATCCTAGCCTATTCCTTTCCATCATTATATGAAATTCTATTTTCAGAGCCTTTGGCTTTGCCTGGGAAGCCCTCATCAGAGAGCAGGTGGGGGTTTCCTCCTGTACTTTGCATTTTGTCTCAACTCTTCCAATCTCCTAAGGGCCTCATTCCTGAGGTTTTGCCACACTTCCTTCAGGGGACTCTCATGCTTCATTGCCATAACCAGAAGAAGAAATCCTTGCAAGTCAGGGCATGATTTCTAGTGCTTTTGTCAGTGCAGCAAAGCTGGGGACATTTTACAAGACAGATGAAACCCTGCAGATGGAAAGTCACTGTGATGACATGACACATGACAGTGAGGGGTGGAGGTGACTATACAGCAATATCAGCCTTAGCTGTTGTCATGATAATAACTCCCCAGGGCGTTCTGTAGTCTCTGATCTCCTCTGCTTGGCAGCTGGCAAGCTCTGATTGCAGCTCATTGTTGAAATGGGACGCTGGGACGTGACCATAGCGGCATTTCCTTGTCATTTCATCACTATAGGATGATGTACTGATTGTATCTTGAATGTGGATTAATAAGGTGAAGAAAGAATTGCCAGATGATATGGGAACAATGCAGACAAGGACAAAAAGTCAGAAAATCATCCCAAATATAAGGAAATGATTGATAAATAGAATGAAAGAAAATTGAATACACACAGAGACTAGACCCAGAAGTTCTTTATCTGTCTAATATGAAATTTATATGGAAGAAATGAGAGAATAAAAAACAGGCATGAAATAGTATAATTTCCCTTAAATAAATGTCAGTGAAGGTATAGTTTTGCTTTAAACCTGGATAGGGTGTTCTTTTTTCTAATTTAAAAAAAWTTTTTAGTTGTTGATAGACTTTTTTTGAAAAAATTTATTTACATGTGGTGCTGAGAATTGAACCCAGTGCCGCACACAAGCTAGACGATTGTGCTACCACTGAGCTACAGCCCCAGCCCCAAATTAGGTGTTCTTAAGAGGCATGTAGTGGATAGGAAAATTGAGTTTCTGGACAAGCAACTAAAAAGTTAAAAATATTTATTCTTTCCTATCCTTTTAAATTAAAATTTCAAATATTATCATTTTATTTTATTTTTTGTGCTGCTGGGGATTGAACCTTGCACATGCAAGGTAAAACACTAAGCTATATCACCAGCTCTATTCTAGTTGGAAGTCTAAAAATTTAACATTTAATTTTCTTTTTAAAAATTTGTTCTTTTTTAGATATACATCATAGTGCAGTGTATTTAGACATATTATACATACATGGAGTATAACTTATTCTAATTAGAATCCCATTTTTGTTGTTGTACATGATGTGGAGTTTTACTGGTAGTGTATTCATATATGAACTGAGAAAAGTTATATCTGATCATTCTACTGTTGTTCCTATTCCCATCCCCCTTCTCTTCATTCCCGTCTGTCTATTCTACTGAACTTCTATTCTCTCCTTCCCCTTGTTGTGTGTTAGCATCTGCATATCAGAGAGAATATTTGACCTTTGGTGTTATGGAACTGGCTTAATTCACTTAGCATGATAGTCTCCAGATCATCCATTTATCTGCAAAAGTCATAAAGTCATTTCTTTTTTTTATGGCTGTATATATACCACATTTTCTTTATCATTTATCTGTTTAAGGGCCTTTAGTTTGGTTCCATAGCTTAGCTATTGTGAATTGAGCAGCTATAAAGATTGATGTGGCTGTGTCACTGTGGTATGCTGATTTTAAGTCTTTTGGGTACATACGGAGAAGTGGGAAAAATGGGTCAAATGATTAATGCTTAGTTTTAAGGGGACTTTAATTCTGGGAACACAATTTTAAATTTAGATTTCCCTTTAAACATTTCCGATTGTGTTTGAGTTTAATGTTTTTAAGATCTTTCTTAAATATTTTAACAAACTGGCCAAGTTTCCATAAATTCTTAATTTAGTCTTATGAACCTAATTATTAAACTTAACATAAATTTGCAGAAATTAAAATTTTCTTAAATATTCCAATACTGCATCAACTTAGTGCGATTTCATAAAGTCACCCTAAATTGGTCAATTACACATTTATAAACAGACCTTTTAAAACTAATCCGAATAGAAAGCATGTTAAAATTATACATTTCTAAAATGCTATTCATACACCATTCCTTACCATGAAATATTGATGTTATGTATTTGATTCTCTTAAACATTTCTGTGTTTAATTCAAATTTAAAATATGTTCACAAAGCTGATAGTGCTTGTGAGATTTAGACTCAGAGACAAGAAAAGGACAGGATTCTGAAAGGCGGACCTAAGGACACCCCTAGATCCTATTGATAGTTATGCATTAYCTCCTCCACACAGGTTGCATCCCAGCCTTCCTTGCACAGGTGTGTACCTTCTGGAGATGGAGTCATACTTATAATTACCTGTAATTACCTGTCATTTCTGCCTACACATGATAATCTGCAACTCACACAAGGCCATCGTGTTGCTTGATGGTTTTCTTCAGTGCCTAAGAAATTTAAGTATATCTGCACCTGAAGTAATCATGCCTTTCTTCACATTTATTTCCTAACTTGCAGGATTTTTAAGCTATTAAGGTGGTATCCTAATGAATTTCAGGGCTCTCTCTTGTACAGGTAATTCACCTAGGAGCCCTGAGACTGCCCATCAGTAGTTGTCAATCTGTACTGTCCTGAAGCAGGAACCACATAGGCTTGTCAAGTGTGTTTCAGTTGTGGGAGGAAGTAATTCTGTGACTAGGGTATTGTTAACAATGGAAGTAACAAAGTACCTCTTGTCTGGCTGGGTCCTCATAAACTTGGAGTTTTTTGCCTGGTGTCAGATGTCCGAAAGGGA